CCTGTGCCCCCTCCCCGAGCCACGGCAAGGGTAGGTCAGCAAAACCTGTCTGCTGCCCGTGCTGCCGCCATGCAACTCAGTTTAGTTCTCCCGTTTGACTAGCTGTTACTATATAATAATTAAAACCTGAAAGGGTGGGAGCGGGAGGCTGCTTTGCTGTACCCCCCAGGAGCGCCATTGTGCTCCTGGCTCCCGCGGAGCAGAAGGCTCTCGCGTCTCCAGGCACGCGGACTGCAAGCCTGCCGGGGGGAGCAGCACCCCAAGGTGCCTCCTCCTGCCCGGGGCCTGGCGCTGCGCCGGCGCCGGGCGCCGCTTACCTGCCAGGCCTCCAGCTGCTGCGAGAGGTTCACTTTCTGCTGGATGGCGTCGAGCAGCTGGCTGTTGAGGGACATCATGTCGATCTTGCACTTGGCCAGTTCTACCTCCACCGCGTTCTTCCTGCGGGAGAGCGAGAAGCACGGGCAGCCCCAGCACAGCCCCGGCCCCAGGACACGCGGCCCCGGCTTTCGCCTCCGAGGTGGCCGCGTGCTGCTCGCCCTGCTGGACACGCACCCGCGCGCATCGACAGCCTTGCCCCAGCCTTTACGCTCTCAAGTCACTGCTGTGCCATGGGAAATGGTAACAGGTCTTGCTAGGAACCGTCTTGCCTCGCAAACATTTTTGAGGAGGAATAATTGCACTTATTAACAGTATCTCATTCATCTCCTAATAGCTCCCTTGTGCTCCTCTGCAGAAAAAGAGCTGAGGAATTTGGTGTTTCTTTCCAGGTACAAGTTGCTTAACGCGTCCTCCTCTAAGACCCCATTTTCCTTTTGCCTGCTATGTTGCCAAACTTCAACTTCATGCTCAGATTTTCCATGCCAGATGTCTGCCTTAGGCGGCGATTTCGTTTTTGTTCGGAGCGAGGGCTTTTTGGAAGCGCTTCAACAAAAACGGCTTAACCCCTGGGACACGGGGTGGGAAGGGCAGCTGCCGGCGAAGCAGCCCGTCGGGGCGGCTCGCTGTGGCGGGGGAGGCACCGTGGCCG